ACTAGTAAATACTTTTATATAAGGCATTGTTAATCAATCTTTTGCGATGGTTTTGACATCATAAGATGTACCAGTTTTTTTTTTTGTAAAAGAAAACGACTAAAGAACAGAATTCTTTGAATTCTTTGAATAAACTGTCAAACTTACGCATATATGCTGTGCTTACCGTACAATATCAGACGATGTTGCGGGAGTATTGGCTGGACGTATGCCAATAGATTTTGAGGGGTTCGCGGCCAGAGATAGTTTTTTCTTATGGTCCCGTCTACAAATTACTGAAACTGAGCCATTTCTGTCAGATTCTTATTTGGAAATAAGAGACAAATACCTTAATGAAAAGCAGCAACGGTGGGATCGTTCCACAAATATCAAAATAGACGCACTCGCTAATTCTAAATATCAAAAGTTTGGATTTGGATTAAACTTGGGATTTCAATTAACAAAGTTTCTTATGGGATATGGATGCTTCTGGGAATACTTATAACGTTGCAGACTGGCAAGTAATCCGTACTGTTAGTTTTGTTCATATGAAATTGAGTGTCTTGATCAAATAATTAGAGACACTATAAGATTCGTAGATACTACACAAAATATATGACTCAATGAGTCGTGTATGAATCGGAGATGCCAATGGTATGGGCCATTTGTATCTTTAGAAGATTTTTCGTCCAGGTTCGATACCAAAAAAAAAAAATAAACAAAAAAGTTTCAAGTGAACTGCAACTCAGCGCCATAAGTGCATAGCTAACATGATTTGATAATAAAAAGAAAATGAGGACTTGAATGATGAGGACTTGAAAGTGCAAAACTTATCTACTCTACTCTTTATGGTAAAGATTAAACTAAGTTTACAAAATCATTCAAATCATATCGTTAAAATAAATTGAAAAGAAGTCTACTTCAATATAAATGTAACGCCACTGCATTGACTATTGTGAATTTTGAGATTTTTTTCGTAAATGAGTGCAAATTTTGTTAAAGCAGAGAGGATAGTACTCATATTTAACTATCGCGCTATAAACAACATGGAAAATACACAAACATAACCTACCCAAATACGGGTGCTTGAGCAATACCACTTGATGCTTGCCAAAATTTTAGGGAGTTGGGGGTGATAAGCATACAATTGTGAATGGGGGAGACAAATGTTTTATTGTTTCAACCCTCATTGCATTGTCACCAGCTAAAAATGTTAGTGTTTTTGAAACGTGATTTTTAGAGAGCAACAATTTGCTTACATGAGCTTGAGTTTATCAGTTCAGACTGTCAGACCAACGTTTTCAGTTTTGGTTTTGAGTTCCCTCGGTTCGGACGTGTTTTCAGCAGAAAGTCAAGTTGTCAGATTCATTAAATATTTAAGTGACTTTTCTTTTGTATATAGTATACATTTTATTAAATTTGCTTACATTAAAAATTCACAAGCAACTTTGTGGGAAAATATTGTTGATTTTAAGTGAAAATTACTAAATTACACATTTTTCATGGGAAAGCAATAAATTTTCGTGCGGAATTTCTTTTTTTCTGTTAATTGAATGCGGAAAGAAAAAATGGTGCAAACCAACAGTGCAGGTGAGTTAAATGCTTAACTCTTTGCTTTGAATTTTTAAGTATCATTTTCACTTTGTGCTATAGTTGATAAGCCCCTATATAGTATATCTCCTCTATCTACATATGTACGTACGAAGAGGTTGTTATTTGCTGTATGTGCGAATATACACTCGCATGTGCGGATTGGGTTATCTTGCATGTTTTATAAATAAATTAACGAAAAACGAAATTTACGTTTGACGAAATTTTGTTCCTTCATATTTACTCCTGTTGCTCCTTGTGACGTTTTGTGTACAAACGCCCACGCAAATGCGTACGTAAGGATTTTGATTTTCATTTTCAAAATGGAGACGCACACACACACTGCACACATGGGTACGTACGTTCCATTAGGAGTGCGTATTGGAGCGTTTAAGCATAAAAATGCTTTTTAGCCACTGTTCAGACAAATTTAAAACACCCAAAGGAGCTCAATTAAAAAAGGAGCAAAATTAACGATGAAAAATGTGAAAATAATTTAAGGACAAAAAAATGTGAAACGAAAATATGTTCACTGCAGTTTGAAATCCTGTTTAGGCCTACATTTTTCCTTTATTATTATCTTTCATACGTTTTTATCAATGAACCAAAATAAACTTTTCATAAAATAATCTAAGTGGGCGTTTGTTTATGTTTTCACAATGTAAAACGTGAAATTGACTTTATTTCGCCGCAATGAGTTTTACATTTTTCAGCTATAATTCCTTATGAGGAGAGAAGTAAATGCTTTTGAAAAATTGCGGTTTTTGATGAAAGGCGTTGAAATTTTGACGCGATTTAATTTGATTGCTTTAATAAATTTAGTGGCATTTCACCAAAAATATAAATTATTACAGCTTAAAGATGGCATTCACATCTATATAGAATATAATTTTGTACATATAATATAAATAATTTAAAATTAAAAAATATAATACAATTATAATGGTTCAAACATTATTGAAGAAACAACAACAAAAATTTTAATTCATTTATTGAAATTTGGCTGATCATACAACACAGTTTCGAGTATTGCCAAAAACACATCAACAGTGATCTTAGGATACATACGAATTTCTAGTTAATTAGTTCATAGTACGTATATAATTTGTTGAACTGCAAATGTCAGGCCTAGAACTCGTGCCTGTCAAATGAGAAAGATGACTAAACTTCTTTTTCTACAAGTAGTCAAGGCTTTCAATGCTCAAGTTCGAAGTTTACGGAATAAATTATATACGGAGCATAAACTAAGTAAATAAAAATTCGATAATATCGTAAGATCACTGTTGATGAGTACTTGGTAATACGCGAAAATACGTTATAAGGTCAGCCAAATTTCAATAAATTAGTTTAAATTTTTGTTGTTGTTTCTTCATAACTGTTCGAACCCTATAATTTATAAATAGTTTCATTTTGTCATAAAACAAAATTAACATAAATTCATTATTTAACATAAAATAAAAAAAAATTGACATAAATTAACATTTTTAATTATATAATTATAATAATATTAATTATATTAATACATTGTGTTAGGTTATTTTTAGTCAGATCAATCTAACAGGTTGTACAGCTTTATTCCAATATCATCACTTAACACAGAACCTTAAGTTCTTATTAATTTTTAAACATTCATAAAACACTTATAAAGCGCACAATGTGTTCAATGCCAGCGCTTGGCATTTCCATATCAAAACTAAGTATATCATTGTCAAAGAAGTTCGTATTCATTTTAGCAAAAACTGCAAAAGAAATTTCAGACTGCTTGGTAACTCTCCTAATCTCATACCTCGTCATCTTCACAATTTCTACAATTAAGAAACAATTATCAGTATAAAATTCCAATCCAGAGTCTGTAGTTCTACTTTAAAGTCGTGTTTTAGTTTAAAAGCGTGCCCATCTAATAAACAATGATCAATCATACAAGCCATAAGCATGGAAATGTCCTTTCTTGGTAGGCCAAGTAAATTCTTTATTTTTTTCTATCAAGTTTCGGTCATACAAGCTTAACAGGTAGCTGAAATCTCGTTGGATAGTGTTTTTCAGAAATAATTTACTTAGACAGCTGAAGATATGATTGCCGAAGAAGATTATATTTATTTCAACAAAAGTTGGGTAGATGCAAAATAAATGTTCCACCCTTCATATTCAAAACTCCCACAATTAAGAAACAGTCGCGAGTATGCGAGTATAAAAACCCCCTCCATAGAGTATAGTTTTACTCTAAAATCGTGTTTCTGTTTAAGAGTGTATTCATTAAATCATAATCATAGCATATTCATAACCAGTAACCGATTATAGATTATAGAAGCCACAAGCATAGAATTGTCCTCTCTTGTTAGACCAAGTAGATTCTTTACTTTTTTCTATCTAGTTTTGATCATACTAGCCTAAACGTAAAACTGAAAAGTGCTATCGCTATGGACCAGCTGATCCGTTGAGGTATGTTATTCGTTTAAAATAGTTTACAAATAGCGATAGGTATTTCGATATCGCTTCTGCTTAGTCCTTAAGGAAGGTTAGTATTATGTATAGATAAGAAATTTCATCAAAAAATGCATTGCAATTTCCGTCAATGTCGTTATGCACTGGTACCTGTATTAAGCGTAACAAAAATGGTATTAGTATTATTAAGAGCTGCTAGGAAATCCTTAGCACACTTTGATCTTATGTAGAACTAGTAATAATACATAAAATATTCGATTGAATCGATTTTTTTATTACTTATCACTAACTCATAACTGTTGATATCCACCTAATTTCTTATTTTCCTAAGATAAACTTTATTGTATAAAAGGATATTAAATCCATTCCTAGACTAATCGCTACATATTTAAGAGAACGTTTCGTTTCATCGTTTATTATTAACTGTTTTTATTTTCGCCTCCTTTCGTTTTTTCATAAGCTAAAGTTTTTTATTTTTCGGGTACACTTATTTCTAGATTTATGGCTACTTTTATACACTACTCAATAACATTATTATTGCTAAAATATCAGTAATAGACGTTTCGTTTTTCAAGCTAAAGTACCCGACAGTTTAGGTTTCCAAGAAAAACAATCTCATATCTTATATACATCGAATGATTTTTAATTGTCTTTCCTTCCTTCCTTCCTTTCTTCCTTTCAAAACATTCCAATCAAATATCAATCAATATAAGCAATTCAATTATCACATTATCTCTTGTAATTTTCTGATTTTGTCTGCCATTAGTTCTTCTCAAATGTAGCGATAATAGACTCATCATTAGAAGAGCATGCAAAGCCATTAACATATGTTGAGCAGGAGAGGTCCAATATTATAGGTTTCACAATAAAATTTTTTTTTAACTCAAATTCCTTGCAGATGTGTTTTTCCCGAAATAAAATATCATTTCCGGTTCTTAACCAATCAAGTTGTTATCTTCTGATTCAACTTACTGATGTTCTATTCTGTTAAGTAGTCGCGGCTATAAAATTCCACCATAGAGTACACTTTTACTCTTAAATCCTGTTTCAACCCATTACCGTTACTAATCTAAATCTTAAAATTTAAAAAATTTTACCATCTTTATTCATGATTTATTGAGCTTCTACAATAACGCTCGAATTTTGCGATTTTTGGTGTTTCTAACTGAAATAGGTTCACAAAATAGGTGTAGATGTCGTTATGAATGTATTGTATATTTTAAACTAAATTCATGTACTTCAATAGTTATGTTATTGAAACATAAAAAATTTGTCGGTATTTTAATCTGTTCAGAGGAACTTGTGTTATAATTGATAATCTTGTTGAACCTATCGTTATTATCATTTACTTTCATTGGCATATTTAGAGAGATATCATTGTGATCAGAGCTGTGC